ATTCCTTTCCCACTAAATCACTAATGTTCTATATTTTCGTATGACAACGTTGTTGCAAGTAGGTGTAATTGGTAACCGTAATATAGGGTTGTTCGTATTATAGAGGTCTGTTTATATCGATCAAGTTTATAGAATTGGTGACCTTAAAATACAGGTGTCCGTATTATAGAGGTCTGTTTATAATTCAATCAAGGAAATAATATAAAGTTTCCAAGAGTTTCTCTGTTCCCCTCTGTTCATTTAAAAAAGATTCTGATATTATCGTCATTAATATGAAACAGAACTCCTTCTTAGACAAATACCTGAGTGAGAGTTCAGAGGATGAAGAAGCTGATGAAGAAAGCGAGGCGGAGGAAAAACGAAAAAACGAACCAAGGAAAAGCAATAAGACGAAGAAGAATGAGGCGAGGAAGAGGTGCGATAGCTATATGTATAGAGAGATCTTCATTATGATTCGCAGGCTTCATTTCATCGCGGGAGGCATTTTCTCCGAAGCTCGCTCGCGGTACGCGACTGCCTCAGATCTAGAGTCCATCGAGCTAGCTTAGCCTAGTGGCCGTTTCCAGGAGTCGAAGTCGAGAACTACCTTACCTTTGGCCAGCAGCCCCTACCTTTGGCCAGGGACGCGGGAGGCGGGCCACTACGCCATCCTGCGCTGCCCCAATTTTTTAAGACGAGCTTATTATCTTTATATGAAATAATACATTATAGAGTTTTTTCATCCAAAGAAAGAAGAAAGAAAGAAAAAAGAAAGAAAAAAGGAAGAAAAAAGAAAGAAAAAAAAGAAAGAAGGGGAAACTTTTTTTTTTTAGTTAATTAAAAAAAAATTAAAATTAAAATAAATAAAAAAAAATCTAACCACATTCTATTGTCTTTCTATTGTGCGCAAATATTCGTTTTGGTAACCATAGCAATACCAAGCAAGAAGAAAAAAATAACCAACGAAACAAACGAGTAAAAATAAAGAAAAAAGGTGATTCAAGTGAGAAGAAGATCGAAAAAGAAAAAGATATTGGAACAGAAATAAGACGATATACTACGGGACGTCAGCCGTCTACAAAATGGCAAAATCTTCGACTTTTTGAAGATGACAATGTCGAAAGGTATTACTATCACAGATATTATGCCAAATATTTGACAGTAATAAGTTCACTCTCTAGAAAGTACAAACGCGAGAGATGACAGAATCCTGTAGTATAGATTTGCAGAGCCGCAAATATGTACCTGTGACTGAACTGAACTCGCGGCGGCGAAGGATAAATCCGCCAATAATAATGATCCATCATTTCAACCAATCAGAACGCAGCTCAAAAACATCATTTACTATAAGGAAGAGAATAAATAGATTCTTATCATATGACCCGTATCTGCCCGGGCGCGAAAAAATATCGCTCTGTGATCCTCACGAGTACCCTAAATTTCATATTCCGGCTGCGTTACCATAGTGGTTGGTCATTATGGTGTAGTGGTTAACATATCGGACTGGAATACAGAAGATGTAGGTTCGATTTCCGCCAAGGACATTTGATTTTTTCTCTTATTCTCTCTATTAGAGTACAAAACATTGTGCAAAATTAGTAGACAATTAGTCAGTAACGTTTAAGTATTTTCTTTCGTATTAACAGTAAGACAAAGTCAGGGGAAAAAAAAATCGGTTAAAAAGCTATTTCTTTTGTCATGCATTATAAAAAAATAGGGGGACAAAAATAACCATATTTTGTTGTGGTGTTTTTAGTGATGAGGAAACGAAAAATAAACAAACTCCTACGAAGGCAAGAAGCGTCAGAACTGAAAGGTGTGTATGTATAGAAATAGTAATCTACTTTTAATCAAATCAAATGTCAATCCTATCGAACCAAACAATTTCTGGGCTTGTCTAAGTCAGGGGGGGGGGGGACTCGAGAAAGCGGAGGAAAAACTCTCAAATCAACGTAGAGACTACGTAACAGTTTTACTCACGCCAGTGTGACGCTGGCGTCCAGGGAAACAATAAGTAATGTTATGTTTTATTAGCTCTCATATATTTAATTTCAGATTCCTAACAACATATTTAGGCTCAGGTTCAACGTCGAACTTTACATGAGCATAACCTAATTGAAACAATGGATAACATGATGTCATTAGGTTCGGCTCATGTAAAGTTCGACGTTAGACATGAGTCTAAGTTAAGATTAAAACCGATGTTAAACGAATACTATTAATTAACCCGTTCAGTCGTAGGTATACTGTGATGTCCGAACGGAAGTCTGTCATTGGACGAGCCGATACAGAGAACAGTGAAAGCTCGACAGAAAGCCAGGAAGAAGATGATCGTGTCCTCGATGGAAAAATAGTAAGGGAAAAATAGATGGATGGATGGATTAATGGATAGATGGATGGATGGATGGACGGACGGACGGACGGACGGATGAAAAATCACAGAAGAAAATATTTACTATATAGGACAATCACTAAGTAATATTGTATCTATAGTGCGTATGATAATACTGCTTTTTTCCCTAGAATGCAGCCGATTTACCTTCAGAGTTCTGGCAGATTCAAAGAATGGTTAAGTTTCTCAAGGTAACAAGTTTACTCATGTTTAGTATGTAGGATCTCACTGATGTTCATTTTAATGAAACCTTGAATGAAACCTTTATTTAGAAATAAACAAAGCCAGGGTAGTCCCTTCAGAACTAATAAAAAGCTCTGCTATCAATGGGAGCCCTGGCATAAAATACAAGTAATAAAATACAAGAGTTCTTCTTCTTCTTCCTAATTCATTCTTCATGTCATCAGATAGGCAACCCAACCGCCACAGTGCTTTGTTTGTGTGCTCTCAAAGACTTTAATCTATCACTGGAGATGAGTCAAATGGCGATCCGTGAGGTAAACGGCCTGCGAGTACTGATCAACATCCTCAGGACAGAAAATCAGCGATGTAAGATTGGATCACTAAATATCTTATTGCCTCTCACGACAAACAGCAAATATAATATCAATATTATTATCAAGCTGGGTGGTAAGTGTCAACAGAGCTCGGAAATGATCTTAATAAATACTGTCTGTGAAGGAGGATGGACCTAGTGAGTGATGGGATGACCTCAATAAATACTGTCTGTGTAATATGAAGGAGGATAACACAACTCTTGGAATTGTTTTCTTATTAAAACGTCTTAGTCCCGCTTTGTAAGTTAATAACGCCAACAAAAGGAATTATGGAAATACAGATTCTAGTATTTGTGGAATCAAGACGGAATGAATGAAGTTGGCATTGGCTGTTGCAGAAAGCAGGGAAAGCCGGAGGGGAGGGAGGGTGTGGCATTGGTATTCAAGCTCAGTCACTACCAACAGGTTTTGTTGTTGCCGATGCAAAATAATAGGAATTCACCATTTTCCATACAACAGTTCACTGGTTAAACACAAAGCATTCAGTCGAGGTTGCAAGGTTCAAATTTGGATAATCCTTTGAAAGTACCTTGGTGCCTCGCTTGAGCGCTTTGAGTTTGACCAGTGAACCGATGTATGGAAAATGGTGAATAAAATGAACAGAAGACCAATAAATTAGCATGTTGTATAGGTTAGTGGTACTGACATGACGATATACTGTATAGGAGTCCCAATCATGGTGGATCTCGTCGCTAATGGCGGCAAAGAAGTACAAGGACTAGCAGCAGCCACTCTTGCTAACCTGGCCATGTCAAGCAGAGCGAGAAACATCTTGAGACGATGCGGAGGAATACAAAAAATGGTAAATAAGATGGATATAGAACATTTAGAGCTAACCCGTGACAGTTTATGGGAAGTGTATACGTGATGATTGCAAAAATCAGTGCTGTTTGATATTTTTTTACGAGAAACAAAAAGTTGATATTTCTGGCTACTAAGACGTTTTGTAAAATCATTTCGAAGATACAAAACATTATATTATGAATTTTATAGAATCCATATATACATACTAGCAATGCTAAACTACATAGTATCTTTCAGGTTAAACTCCTAAGATTACAAAACGAGCAAGCAAAAAACAATCCTTCAAAGTCTCAGGAACAGAAGAAGATGGATCTGGAAGTGTATCGTTGTGCTGCACTCGCTCTGTGGAGCTGCAGCAAGAGTAGATGCAGTAGAACAACCATATACAAAACAGGCAGTGTTCCATTACTAGCAAAACTCATTCAAATTGATCGAGAAGAAATCCTTATACCAGTAATTGGTCTTGTACAAGAATGTGCTATCGAGGTAACATGCCACAATCTTATGAATCTCAGGCTTATGTCTTAATCTTATGTCTCAAGGAGAGAGTCCGATAGACCTTACATGTTACAGTACCCTACGTCTATCTGGGGTTCAAAGTACAAATATAAATAAATAAATAAATAAATAAATAAATAAATAAATAAATAAATAAATAAAGCTGACTGAAAGAAAACAATGTAGATCAAATTCGATTTGGAGAAAAGTGATTGGAATGCTCTAGTTAGTATTGATGATTTTGATATTTGTTTTTAACATATAGGCTCGTTTTCGTCATGCCTTCCTTCAAGAAAATATGATCGAGACAATCGTGCAACATCTTCAAACAGAAAATGAAGAACTTCAAACCTACTGCGCAAACGCAATATTCAAGGTAACACTAAATTTCCGCCGATTACTCACACTCTTCGCGTCCAAGCTATAGATCCCTTGCGTCTGATTCTCAAACAGCTCAATTTTAAAGGACAAAACAAAAAAAGTTTGATCTCCTGAGAATTGGAAACCGGACAAACCTATTGCTGTGTCCTCCAAATTGAGATGCATTCCGACGTGATGCTAGAGATCTATTCTTTGGGGGGTCTGGGTCGAAAAAGAGCTTATCAAAATTCTGCAGTATTCAAAAAGGCGTCTGACTTGAACTTGCTTCGAAAATTGAAGTTTAGACGCATTATGTATAATGCGTTAACGGACAACCCATCATTAGCTAAGTTGTCTGATCCAAATATGGTCTGGAATTAGTCGAAAAATACTGTAAATATTAAGAAAAAGCAATGATCCTAATAAACTTGACCACGATTAAAATGTCAAACTTTTTGGTTTAGTGTGCTGAAGACGAGGAGACGCGTAAGATTGTGAATCGATTCGGCGGCCTAAAGCCATTGGTAGCTCTTCTCTCACAATCAGGAAACAAGAAGTTATTGGCAGCTGTGACTGGTGCCGTATGGAAATGCTCCATTAGCACAGATAATGCTCAAAGGTTGGTGCATGGATGAATAACTGGAGATGTTTTGGGTTCAAACTCCCTGTTCTGATATAATTGATATTTGCTTGTTTTCTTGTTTTCCATGAACAGGTTTCTTGAAATGAACATTGTCGAAATTCTCCTGAAATATCTACAGGATCCTGAACAACAGCAGCCGGAAGACGTGAGTTCAGTATATACAGTGGCGGATCCAGGAATTTTTGAAGGGGGATGACTATTGCAAAGATTTTACCAGGAATGAGGAAGCTAGCCATCCCCTTCACCCCCCCTGGAGCTGCCCATGATATAATTAGCCCTATATGTTTTGAATTCAGAATTCGTAAAATACCACTGTACTATAGATTCATTTTCTCAGGGTTAGGCCTCGATTTTTTGCAGAATAGTTTTGTGTTCTAGTGAAGGTCCGTGGAATTTCAAAGTGTTGCTTTTGTTAAAGTTGTGCATTCTTTACTTTACCTTAGGTGTTTTGTGAATATTTTGACGTTAAAACGAGGCTAACGCTGCGTAAATGAATTTGTTGTCCGAGGAACACAGCACTATTTTACAGATTTGAAAAATGGTATATTATTGTCAATACAAGACAGCAACACACCAAGGGCAACGAGCAAAACTTTCCCCACCATAACTTCGCCAAAACGGACTTTTTCTCAAAGTCATATTTTCCCTTATGGGTAAAGGGTGTAGAGAAATTTTGAATGAATAGATAATTAACGGAGTTCCTGTGGTTTTGGCGGGAAATTTTTAGGTAAAACGCGCTTGCTTTTCAAACTCTGATTTTTTCGCTACACGATTCGGTAAGATGCATTTCTGATTTTCTTTCTAAAGAATTAAGATTTATTTTCGTAGACTTTATGTGATCATATTACAGTACTCATGCAATCATTCAAAGTGACTTTGATTTTCATATTTCAGGTTGAGATTCATATTGTTGGAGCTTTGGCAGAGCTTTCAAAGATCGATCTAGGTTGTCGAGAACTTCTTGCATGCAAAGGCTGCAAGACTCTTGTAAAACTATCCACAACACCTAATGAGAAACTCGTCGAACAAGTTTCAAGGGCCATTGCTGCCTCCTCAAAATACCGGGAATGCAGAGAGTGAGTAAATTTTATGTAAATGTCTTTATGTATACTTCTTAATAGAGGCTTTAACCATAACTTGAATAGAGGCTTTGATGCCGAAAAAAGATAAAAATATTTTGAAAAAAAAATTTTTTTGTTTTGAAATCATTTTTGCAAAGGGAGGAAAACTGGAGAACCTGCCGACAAAAACCCTCGAAGCACGGTAGAGAACCATTTACTAGTAGAAACACCCGCTCACATACGATATGAGAGGAACAAGCGTTCTCGTATTGACTCGGGTAAACATCAATGAAGGAAATGAGTCAAAATGACAAGTTTTTAATGAAACAACTAAAGCAGAGTAAAGCCACCGACACATGGTACAAGGCATTGCCGCAATGTAGCAGGCAATAGAGGTGTCGAGCAAATGCTGAAGTAGAAAAGGATCCTACTTCAGGCAACATTACCTGCAATTTTGGGTGCAATGTTGCACCGTGTGTCCAGGGCCTTAACACGAAGATTTGAACCCAAAGACCAAAAACGGAGTTGGAATCAATGTTTAACGAGTATAAATAACTCAAAGCTTCCATGATTGCTATCAAGAATTGATTACTAGTCTCTATCAGTGTGAGTCTTTATAAAACAAAATGCCACATATCCTTCCTTTTGTCAATGGTCCATTTAAAAATGCAGTTATTCATTTGGTGGTATTCCCTGTCATGTCTTCAATGTTCTCAGGGGAGTATCAATCACGAATGTACTACTGCACTGGACCTACACTAGCTTATGTTTCTTTTTGTAACCTTTGCTGCAAGGCAAGCTGTTTGAAAATTGCCTGTTTGGACCCACTGTGGCCCATTGTTATTATCGCACAAGACAAGTTGGCAAAAGCATTGCCTCTTGCGGTGAGAGCGCTTTGGACTGTCGATCGGATTCTATTGACCCCTTCATATGTTAATCAATTGTTTTTGGTTTCAGTCTCATTAATCATTTGGACGGGCTTCGATTACTTTGGTCTTTATTGAAATCAAATAACCCAAAGGTTGGTAAGCCTCGACATGACTAAATATGGTCAAATGTTGCGAACCTCTGGCCACGGGTGACAATCTTATCCGATGTCAAAATAGACAACCGGGCAAGCAACAGTAATGGTTGTATTCATTAATCATGATGGAACATTGGAGATCCACTTAACCTGAAATAGCCATGCACTGTTAACGATGGTGTGACAGAAACAATCTCCCAGATAAACAATTGTTCATTGATGAAGTAGTATGGGGCACTAGATCGTGCAAACGCGCCATGGGAGATCCCTCTACAACACATCAAGTTTCAAGCTTTATTACGAAAAAGAAAAAATACGAGTCAACACCATCCCGTAAATAGTAAACAGTACCTTATGTAGACGGGAGGTGATATATTACATTCTGAAATAAATWTTTGAAAATTTACAATCGATAAAAAATGTATAGCAAATAACGAAGAAAATGAATATTAAGAATATTAGGATGAAATGTAAAAACTAACCCGTCCCTCCCTTCCTCAAAGAGTACCCTCCCTCGGGTTTGTGACAACAAAATTGAATAAAAACATATCATTGGTTCAAAACAATACTGATGGTTATCTGTGCGTCTCTAATTGCAGGTTGTATCAAGTGCTGCGTGGGGGATCTACGGTCTAACAGAGGATACTCCTGTAAGTCTTCTTCTAGCCATGTGATAAAAAGATGATGAACATTACTGAATGGTCGATTTGTATTTTTAGGACGCCTGGGAAAATGCTCGATCGTTTGTTGGAGGACTGGAACTCATTGTTAATTTATTGAAGTCAGATGACATTGAGGTAAACCTATGCCGTGATCTTGCTTGTTTTAGTTACTGTTTCAATTCTGAGAGGTCACTGTGGTCATTATTATCTTCGTATCGTATTCATCTCTCTTCTCTGTTTGTCTCCATTCCTTGATTCTACGTTTAATTTCATACACAGTTCTGGCCATACTTTGCTTTTTCTTTAAATCTATTTAGTTTGTCCAATCAAGTAGCCAGAGTAGTCTAGAACTGTGTTAGTGGCCTGGTCCGATATAGTCGATATCATGTACTTATTTTTTCATTTCATTTAGCAGCAAAGCAGCACTAGGCTTCCCAAAAAAAATCCGCGCTCTCACAAACACAGCTCTCTCTACTGCTTGCATAAGGTACCTTTTTTTGAAAGCAGTGCTCGACTAGTTTTGAAAAGAGCTGGCAAGTTGGTGTGAAAACATCTCTGACATAACTTGATTTGTTTTACTTATTTTTACGCCTGACAGGTTTTAACAAGTATTTGTGCTGCAATTTCCAACATTGCCAATGATTACGAGAATATTGGGGTTCTTCAAGATTATGGCGTGGTGCCATTACTTGCCAAAATGACTTCCATTGTATGATATTTTTCCTGTTATTATTATTATTATTATTACATTATCATCTTAAATATATCTTCCAAATAGATGTGGATTGGCCAATTACTCTTGACACATTATCCAACCGACATGGAGGCTGTTTCACCGTAATATATATATCTATCTAAAGGGATTTTGAGTTAATGTGATCATTCCAAGAATTGGTCTTGACACATTGGACTTGACACATCATAGCATAAAAGTAAATTTGATCACCGTTTCATTTAGCGCCAACTAAGAACTTTAGTTATACATATTGAAATTGTTAAAAAATATTGTCATAACGCTAAATTATGTGTATAATTTGTGTGTGTATAAATTGTTCAACGTCCCTGCGTACATATTGGTTACTGATTGTGTCCCAGTAGGCGCACTACTCACACTAAACACTCGCGCGCTACTTCTATAAGGCGTTTGCCATTTTCTCCGGTGCTGCCTTCTTCAACACACCAAAATGGGAAATAACATTTGTTACAATCATGTGTACAACGTTTTTTAATTGTTTGGAAATATCGATGGATCAAAAAGCATGGGTGGGGGGGTGGGGGGAAACAACTGTTCTCTCTGTTCTCGTTTTATCCCTTCTTTTTGCGAAGAGTATCATTAAGAAAAATCCCTAGTTGTGAATATAATCGGGGAACCTTTAAGAAACTTTGATTATTTGCACGTAAACTAGCATTTGGTAGCACATCAACAGGCACAAGCTCCGTTGCAAAAAACTTGCAAAAAAATTGTACATTCAAGGTAGCTCGGCGAGAAGGAATTTGCCAATACTAACATGATGATAATTTGTGATTTTATTATTGTAGAACGACATGGAATTGCGTCAACATCTTGCTGAAGCAATAGCAAGGTAAAGTTACTTCTTAGACAGACAGATAGACCGGTTGAGAAAATTAGGGTGGCCCTGTAACGTTGTAGAGACGAGACGTTTGTTCTCTTCTTTCAGGAGACTACGAATAAAATAAATGCTATCGTTAGCAGTGGGGTCGCTCTATCTTCATATTAACGAATCCTAGAAATAAGATTCCAATCTTTCCAAACTGTGAAACAGTACTACAGTTGTAGTTTAGCTGGTGCAAAATGTTTTTCCATTTTCAGAGAATGTGTCATTCCCTTGAGATTGAATCGACTGAATTCGTCTTTTGATTTCAGACCATGTGTATACAACTCTTTTTTCGAGTTGTATACATCATTTATGTCTTCTCATGCCTAACCGTTAAACAAAGAAATGATACTCTAGGGAATGACACGTAATGCAGCCAAATAAAGAGATCTATTATGTACTAATTGCATATATGTCATTGCAATTAGATGCAGTAAATGGGAAAATAACGCCCAAGAATTTTCCAAAGAAGGGGCTGTGGAAGCCATGGTTGAATACTTGTCTACTGACGATATGAACGTGAAGCGGTCTGCAGTCCGCGCACTACATCAGCTGGCCAAGAATGCCGATAGCTGCATAAAAATGCATGATAAGGGTGTGGTCAAGGTGCGTATTGTTTTCAATATAGTTTGTGTTGTCTAGAATAGATCCAGTCTAACTGTCAAAAAGTCGTTTATTTCTAGACCAGAGCTTTTCCAAGATAGACCTAACAGGGCTATAGCTATACGAGTACGTACGCTTGGTCGGATTTTAACCGTATCATTTTTTACCGCCAGAACCATTTTCGCTCTTGTAAAAAAATTTTAAACATTTTTTGAGAACATATTCTCGCACACAACAACAACGACAACAACTAAAAAAAAGATAAAGCCGGAACACTTTTTTAAAACGGGAAAACTGTCGAAATGATGGCTACAGCCCTATTTAATCCACGCACTGTTTAAACATTTCAGACAATGTATCATTCCTTTAACAAATTTTCAATGCCAAATCGTTTTTTAACAGCCGCTGGTCCAGATGGTGGGCTCAGATGACGAAGCTTTGCAGGAAGCTGCTGCCTCTCCAACATTAGAAAACTTGCTATGGCCAATGAAAAAGCAAGGGCAGATAATAAAGCGAGGACACCAGCAAGTGCTGAAGGAAGGGATAAAAGTACATCAGCAAAAAGTGAGCTCGATGGCAGTACGGCGTAAACGGAAATTAGTTATTATTTAATTAGCGACAAGCCTAAAAGCGATAGGTCGTTTCTCCCCTATTCCCATTGAATCCTATTTTCCCTGGGAAAAATAGACAAAAATGATCCCAGTTCCCATATTCACTAAGGGACCAGGAGAAGGAAAAAAATCTGTTGGCTTTTAGAATAACGTATATGGATTATGTGTGTTGTTGTCGAAATATTCACTATGTATGGCTTCTAGCAAAGCGAGTCTAGATAGAAACTATAGTTTTAAATGCACGCCATGCAGGCAACGCTCACAACGTCAAATCCCAGGTCCATATAAGGGAAAAAAAATTGACTTTGATAAATTGAACAAAATAACTTGTATCGAGTATACGTGTGTCGTTTTCAAAATACTCACTATATTTTCTAGCAAAGGTCAAAACTACATTCTGTGAATTGCACTGTACAAGAAACACTCAAAACATCTGTCAGGGTCCATACGATTTTTTCCACAGTTGATTTTGATAAATTAAACAAAACAACGAATATATGGTGTATGTGTTTTACTCACTATATCTTCTATAGTTCTGTAATGTTCGTCACTGCACAGGAAAGCTCACATTTGCACATTACTACAGCTAGGTGCCAATACGAGAACAAGCACACTTTTATTAAATGCTTCGATTCATAACTAGTTATGATCTTTTGAGAAGGCTTGAGGTATAGATCCGGCCTTTCATTGATTTCCTAGAGAAATTGTTCTGGGGACACAATAGGCCGTTTCTTTTTATGTAAAATGAAAACAAACAAACAAAAACATCCATTGTTTTGTCCCCCAGAACAATTCCTCTAGGGAGTCGGTGCAGGGGATCTATAGGTTAATTTAGTCCGAAGCTTGACGTTATCTGTATGTCCTCATTTTACAAACAAAAAAAAAAAAAAATCATATATAACTAGTGGTCGAGTTTGCTTCTGATATAATGATTGGAATTGGTGGAAGAATGAGCAAACCAAGTGCGGTGACTGCGCACTTTCGATAAATACACTGATTATAAGAAAGTTTCAAAGTATCATTCAGACAAATCGGTCTGAGTTTGTGTTAAACCATTGAAGCGACATATGGAAAAGAATGTTAAATCGGGCAATCAATAGTCTCCTTTGCAAATGTTCTTATAGTGTCGCAAAGGAGACTAGGGTGAACACAGTAAATCCGTGAAACTTTAGTAATACTAAATAGCACAATTTCATGCAAATTCCATTGTTTTCTATTGTTTAACTAGCACTATTTTGTACTATTTAGTAATTAGTGTTTCACGGAATTACTGTGGTCACTCTAAACAATCCCTAGCAACCTCTTTTCTATGCTATAGTTCTGTGGAATACCAATGGTAAGGGAAAGGGCTGGGCAATGCATTTTTCAAAAACAACCAAGGACTGAACAAACAACTTTAATCACAAAGTAATTACAAAGCAATTATTTAAAAATAGTGAAATAGCTCGCAACATCGACCCCAACAAAAATCAGAACATGGTATTTGATACCACTTGAGTATACAACTGTAAAATACTTTAGAGGACTTCTTACGCAAAGACAGACAGACATAGATCATTCTGGGTGTTAACCCTGGTCGATTTGCGTTCTACAACTTTATTATACTGGCGCCGCCAAAACGCAGTTTTTAGAATATAACTGAAACACTACAATAACATTTCAGAATGAATTGTTTAACCAAATGAAAATCTTTCCGTTCTACCATCCAACTCGATTTGGTCCAAGATTAATCTTGGTCGAAACAGTGTGCGAGTAATTTCATGGTTAACTTAGCAAAATAGCGTTTTAAGAGTTTGTAATGCGCTAAAGTAACTTGGTGTAAGGAATAATAAAACGAGTTGAATGATAAACTTCTGATTATCTTGATCTTTTTGAGTTGAATTTCCTTGCATTTCCCTCTTTCAAATGTAATCGAAGAATGATATAGTATTCAGAAGCGGGTCCAAACTTTTGTCGCTCTCGAAGATGGTGTTCCACATTTCGGAGAAATTACCGAGTAGGATGAATGTGCAAAGTACTTGTTGAAACTTTTGTTAAATCCACCACTGAATACCATGCAATTAAAAAAAGGAATCAGAACTACGTCTACAATTGTATTACTACCATGTCGAATTGTTAAGAATTCCGACTATACCCAGCCCAAGGTTTTTTCAAATTCCAGCTGACTCTATGGAATGTTGACACGTACTCTAGATTCGGTAGTAATGCACTAAATATAAATTGTAATTCGTATAAAATAACAACAAAAGACATATTCTATTTAGCTTCATTTGATAGCTTACATAGTACTCTTTAAATGTTGGGAAACTGAAAAGTGAACTACCTGAAATTAAGATTCTACATTCAAACATATTTCGTGYATTTGCAACTAAATCTGGAGACTTGTAAACAAAATGACGTCACAACTTGTGCTAAATTTTCTTGAATTTCTAGAGAAATACGTTTTTGAAACGAATTTAACCGTGATATTCTTATTAATGACAATAAACTACACATTTTTGTTTAATATTAACATTTTTTCGCGTCATATGCACTTTAAGGTGCAAAAGAAATGGCCTCCATGTTGGTTGATACAGGCGGTGTGAATTTCTTCTCATAAAATTAAAGGATAAAAGAAATGACCACCGTGTTGTTTGCAGGAGAAGAGACAAGACCAAATCCTTTGATATTTAAAGTCATCCAACATGGCGGCTATGACGTCACATGCATGTAACAAGAAGCCAAAGAAAGATCGACCAACATAGCGGCCATAAAATCCCAGAAACAGCAGTTTAATACAGATTAGTGAATTCGTGAGGTCTCCCGTCTAAGCATGCCGAATAACTTAAGCTCACTAATCCGGTGAGGATTCGCTCTGAGGAATACTAGACAGATGACGTCAAAAATAAGTTATACAAAACAAGGAGCCCGCTTTTAATATTGTCTAGTACAAGCTACCAATAGCAATTATACTGAGCCGAGCCGGTCCTCAGTTTTCCTAGTAATCTACAGTGCAGTAAAGTAAGCTAACTTATCACTCTTATAAGTGACCGCTTTAAAAACATATAGAACATATATTACTACTGCTTATGATGCAGGATTTAGAATTTAGGGACTGTTTTCAGAACTTCACACTAGTTAGCGCTTTAGGGAATTGGTTTCGCGTGATGAAACCCTAAACAGATCACCAACATTTAAATATGCTGTAATTAATAAATATTTAAACTAACCATTTAAATAACTAGATTTACGTTCCTTTGTCTAGTGGCTTCTATGGGACCAACTACAAGTAATAGGTAGGGAAACAACAAGCCTTCTAGCACTGATAATGGGTTTGTAAGTCACAGAAGGGGTGAAAAAAGAAAGATTGGGATGGGAGAGCAACAGTCAGAGCCCAGCTCAAGACTGTTGACTGACCAATCGATTGACAGAATACACCAACCGTCTTCCTTCATCCTCTATAGAGAAACAACTTACATCCATGATCCGTAAATTGAAGGCTTGCTTTAACTAACCCTATCTTTTTTTCATGCATTTTCGAAAGACTTTCCAATGATGATTCCAATAACTGCTGTTACCCATTTCATGGATAATACAACTCGAACTCGAATTGAAAACCGGCCTTCAATCTATCTACCGGCTTTTTAAAACTTTATCGTTGATAATCAATCTACTTTCACTTGACTTGAGCAAAAGGAGTTGAACTACATTCAATAGAAGTTATACTTTTCAATCTATTAAAATATCTATTCATTTTATAAAAATAATTCAATTTCAAGAATGCCTTCCAAGAGAGATTCATATCAAAGCTAGTCTGATAATCGGCCGAATGGTTATATGTCTTATGTTAAAGTGCTTATAGGCCTTTACACAATATTTTCAGAATTGAGTCTTTATATAGTGAATAGTTGATTGTGAAAATAATTCGTCATTTGAATTTCGGATCTTTGAGATACGAAGGTTTATATTTCCAATATGTTATTGACTATGACGTAACATAAGGGATTTGAGTTATTTTGTGTCAACTTTTAATATTGAACGCTGGACATTTTTTGAAAACAAATTTGTAAGAACCTTTACGTGAGTCACGAGTAAAAGGGTGATGCTTTTAAAATATTGTATTCCAGAACGAGTGCAGTGTTGTATATTAAATGATCCCTTATGTTACGTCATAGTCATTAACATATTGGGAATATAAACCTTCGTATCTTAAAGACCCGACATTCAAATGACGAAATATTTTCACAATCAACTATCCACTATCTAAAGAATCAATTCTGAAAATATTGTGCAAAGGCTTATAAGCACTTTAATCGTTTCAGAACTACGGTCAAAAGTTAGATAAGCCATCTACTTTGTTTTCTGTCTAACAATCATACGGAGTAGTTCTAGCTTACTTGCACCTTGATAAATCCTATCTTTCAACTGCAAAATCTCCTTTTTCGCAACGTCAAATATTATATGATGATTAACATGAATATTCTAGATTTTTCCAAAATTTAGAGAAAACTGAATCGGTCATTCTAAATGATGTGTGAACTACAAAGGGTTCTTGTCACATTTTATCAAACACTATTCATCAATTTTGTTTTAAAGAATAGATTAAAGTGCTAGTCTTACGAAAATGACACCGTCCCTGGAAATTGTACCATATAAAACTAGATATGTAATATAGCTCACTGTCCAAATTCTTTTTCGATACAAGACTGGGAAGATGCTTTATTTAGCCAGTAAAGTTTGGCCGTTTGAGTCCGCCATTAAGCGATTGCGTTCCTGGCAACTTTTAGTGATTCGAAGGAAGTGACGTCATACGCGCAACCTTTCAAAATTCGCGGCTTTTCACAATGTGTAATTGCAACCAAATTTCGAATATTTTTGATTTAAAAACAAGCCTTAAGCCAAGTCATGCCTTCTTACAGAGAATGCTGTAGAGTCAGTGTGGATAAAAAGGATGCTAGTTGCGCGTATGACGTCACACATATATTAAAATGCAACGATAAAATCGCTGCTCACAGAAATGGCGGACGAGCTTTGAACAATTTTCGGAAGTAGAATTCAGACGGGAAAAGTTTCTTTTTCGAACCAATTATTGTTTATTGGTGAACATTATAACCTATTTGAGCATATAGAAAATCTGGGATTTTTTTTGCTTCATTAATATTTTCGTAAGACCAGCACTTTAAAGTCATCCGAATAAAACGGAATATTCTTCAGCTTCAGCTGTTGCATTTTATCCCTATCTAGTAAAACACAGTCGAATACTTTTTCAGTTCTTTAGATAAGACTCATTTCTATCGGTTTCTTTATTGTGCCACATATTTCGTGACACAGATACATGTATTCCAACAAACATAAGTCACCCACTGTTTCCGCTCGGTGGTCAGCTTTGCTGGAAGTCTATGCTGCAATTTCAACACTTAGCCTTTCTTCTTGATCTTGGGTAAACTGGTTATTGGCAGATCTTTCAAAGCAATTAGGCCGGTTCAATTCGTTTTTGGATTGGAAAGGCTATGGAATAATTACACAGAGCGAGTGTTAACAAATTTGAAAAGCAGTCCGCAATCAAGTGCATTACTAAGTGAAAAGCGTACAGTATTTAGTAAGTCTATGAACTATTGAAAGAATCCCCGTGCCACATCATGAGCACTTTGACTCTATTTTTAGAATCAGGGAGGCGTGGGTGGCGTAGCGGTGAGAGCGCTCGCCTCTCACCAATGCGATCCGGGTTCGAGTCCCGACGAGTTCGGTGTCGTATGTGAGTCGAGTCGTTCGTTAGTCCTCTCTCTTTTCATCAGTCTTCGATAAAGTTCTTGCAATTAGGCGTATATCAAAAAAGGAAATTAATGATTAAGAATAATAAATGAAAATTCCACTTTTTGATGCTTTTGATTTACATTGCTTTTGGCGTATTCTTTTTCGCGCCAAAATTTTGTCCGCCTTCCGTTACCAAGTGCTCGCACGCGCGCGTGCTTTTTCGCGCCAAAGTTTCCTTGCTGAGTAAGACGATTCAGGGGGGGAAATGGTTTTAAATCGTTTCAAATTACTTGTTGGTCGGTTTTTTGACAGAAATCATCTGTATTTGACCAAAATACCTGGGTAAGTAATCATTACATATATATATAATATACTAACAATATTCTTAAAAGTGTTTTTCTAGTCACTGAAGTTGTGAGAAAGATATATAAATGTTCTAAAACAAAGTTGCTCACCATGTTGTTGACGGATATGACTTCTTTAGGAGGGGACTGAAATAAAAGAAGCACTTTATAAACCTTGAATTCGATAAGATTGCTTAAAAAGCTCATATTGTGAGCAAAATAGGCTATTGAAACTTTAAGAAAGCGACAAAAGATATTTATTAGGTTAGCTTTTAATCTCAATAACATTTGTATGTACACTGTACTTTTGTACATACCTTTGGAATTACTTGTGTTATATCCTGAACACAAACAAACGCTCCATAATTTGCCGGACAAGTAAAATACCTTACACCATCAATACTTCCATTATTGTTTCCCACTAAAACGAAGACATATATTAGAAAAGTGTATATAAAATATAGGATGTCAAGCCGAATTAAAGCATTACTTCATAAGGACGCAAGAAAAAATTAAACAGTAATACAAAAAAAAAAAAAAAGTAAGTTTAGGTGTGATTAATCCTAACCTGGTGAGTTTAAATGAAGTCCGACATAATTAGACGTTCCACCCTTCAGTGGTCCAATGTAGTTAACATAACCTGTGGAAAAGCAGCATTTCCAATTTTAGTAAAATGGGATTTTTATCGATAAATACTATTTGTAAGCCTTTATTTCAATGTGATCAATGAAAAATACTGACCTTTTACCTCCCCTTGGACTACAACAAAATCTCCTATTTTAGGCAAAACCTTTGGCCTAAAATAGAAATTTAAAGATGGTTTTATATCAAAAATAGTAGTAGTTTACTTTATAACTAGTCTAAATTACAAATAACATCAAGTTAACATACATATGACCAACAGGTTTCTTGTCACAACTTGATTGATATTTATTCAATTGTAGTGGGACCAACTGATTCCCTGCACTTTGAGGTTTGCTGTCTGCACTTAGGATTGGTGGTGGTTCATTTGAAGGCATCTTGTAATAAAAAAAGTAAGTTCATTATATTTAATTACGTAAGTAGAGTTTGTTAGGTCTTTTTCTTGATTCAAGGGTTTTTTCTTATGGGTTCTCTGTTTTTCCCTGTCCACAAAACCTAACACACCAAGTTCAAATCCAATCTGTGAATAATAGACCCGCCCTGACTTACAGTACATGTAAATCACCCCAAAGGTTGTTTCAGGGTTCTTTCTGTGAGTTAGCCATGCCCTGACTTTAGATCCACCCAGAGGTTGTTTCTGAGTTTAATCTGTGTTCAATCTGTGATGAGCTAGCAATGTCTTGATAGGATCAGCCCAGCTCTAGGTGGTTTCATGGTATAAAATAAAGTTTACAATTTTATTAATGAAAAACTCTTATCTAATAAGAACTATGCAAAATAACTTACTGGGTATATCTTTGTTGGTGTTGATTGTCCAAATCCATTTCTTATCCTGTGTTTGACACAGCTACAAGAATGGTAATGTAAAATCACGAATTATTAATTACTTCTTGTGTGAAGGACTTTATTTCACTTGTTATTTAACATGCATGTCCAGTAAAATACATAATTTACAGTATATTCTACACACCTTTTAAGACTACAACTTTGGTCGTGATTTGGATTTTGATCCTTCTTTAAATGAGATGAAAAGCTTTGAGCTGTTTCTTTCTTTAAAGTCCTCTGTATAGGAAAAACAAAAATCGATTAAGATTATTATTGCATTATCATTAATATTATTATTAATTAATTTTCACATTCAAACAAAGTCTATCTGCCAAGAGTATAAGTATACTAACCTTTGAAATAGGACTTGCTTGGGGTGCACTGAAAATGTAAAGTATTTTATTTACATATTTTTGCATTTCCATAAGTGGGGTAAGAAAATGTTATTTACTACAATGAGGGTTTAAATTTTATTTCCTTCCCTAGCTTCCCTATACATGCAGCAATCCTTTAGCCTCCAGGCTAAACAAGAAAACATGTTTACTGTGCCTTTTCCTCAATGTTTCCCAGTTGCTTAGTTGATATTTATATTGCTATGTGCTAAACTTTTTAAACTTCTCCAGTTTGCTTTAATGATACATACATGGTGGACTCTGGTGACTTTCTATCCTTTTCTAGTTTGCTGCCTTTCACAACTTTATTATGACCTTGACTTTCATTCAATCCCAAATGGCTGACTTTTGAAGCTGGCTTCTGTGTGAACAAAAACAGTTTATTTTATAAAAGATGACAAAAAAAAAAAAAAGTAAAAATAGACAAATATATAGAACATCTGTGGTCACAGATGGAAATGTCTGTAAAAATGTAAAAAAAAAACCAAAACAAACAAAAACAAAAAAACAACAACAAACAAACCAAACAACAACAAAACAAAAACAAACAAACAAAAACAACCAAACAACAACAAAATACAAAAATCAAACACATCAATTGTTAAATATAAAGATATAGCTGCCACATGATAGACAGGTTTGTAAGCCCTTAACAGCTAATAAGCACTTACTTACACTTAAATTATGTTACCTACCTGGGAATGTCTCAATTGTGTTTTAAGAGCCTAAGAGGAAAACAAGTCACAAGAAATAAAAAATAGGTACTCTATGCTGGGTTATGACTGTTTCCAAGAGAAAAAACAGCCAAATTCCAAATAGAGTTAAGATTTTAATTTCATTTGGATTTTTGCCTTTTTCACATACATGTAAATAACAAACATGTAAATAACAAACATGATAAAACTACTTTTCTATTTAAGGGGCATTGTTAAATTAGGGGGATGAGTGTGTCACAGGTTGGAGAAGGGGGAAGGGGG